AAGTTGAATATTTTATCCAGCAGTAAAGTGCAAGGCAATCAGTTAACCAGAACCATTCAATATGGAATTCATTAGGTGACTGAGAAACAATTGACCAGGAACTGGGAAGCAAATTAAGTTCAGCATAAGCCGATAACAATATGCCTAAAGTAAGTTGGAGTTAAGATCTCACACTTATAGAACTTGAAATATGCCTTGTTGAGCTCCACCAAGAAGTGATAATGCCTGATTTGAGATGTCTTCCAAAACACGTTTTAATTCTGCTTTGGCTCTTGTTGCGTCGATTCAGCTGCACCAAAATGGATTAAGCTGCATCCTCAACTTGTGATACTCGCAACTGCACGAGCCGTTCGGTAGTATAGCATATGTAAGTGCGAGGTCGATTCTACAGGGATTGGTGATTGAACAATCCAATTCAGTTTTCCTACACAAAACAAAAAAAAAAAAAATTAAATAAATAAAACAAGAAAGAAAGAAAAGAAAATAACTCAAGCAGATAAGTTCCCAAGTTCAATTAGATTAACGGATTGATTCTAGCTAAAGTATGATTAAGCCATGGTGTCTGGTCCTAACCTTGTATTCCTAATTCCCTAATTTGATCATCTGTTGTCTAACCTAAACTAAGCATTAGGGATGTTATATCTAACCTAATTTGATCAAGAAGAACATTTTAAACAACCAAGTATGTATCTAATCCCTATTGTCAAATGTCCATACATACTCTTCCTATTCATAGTTCAATTCGAATTAAAGCATGGTGTCTACTCTTAATTCAAACCAAGATAGCTAACATGCAAGCCTAAATGGTGATCAATCATTCAAACTAGCATATTAACTTATAAGCATAATGAATAAGAAAAAAAATCAAAATTGAAACTTGGAAACTAATCAAACTTGAAACTAAAGAAAAGAATTTACATAACAATGAAAAGTAAAGTGGAACTAAGAAAAACTTAAGGAGAATTTCAGCACAAAGATTTCGTTACAACAATTGAAAACTAGAAAGAGAAACTAAGAGAATTTAAGGGGGAGAAGGGAGGGGAGCTCTAGAGAAGTGTTTGAGAGCTCCCCCCTTTGGGGGTGTGTTTTGAAGCTTGAAGACTTCTCTATTTATAGGGCTAAGAGGGAGGAACATCATGATGAATTCCAACACCACCATTCCTATTTTAATACAACCCATAACTCTCACTTCATCTTGTCTATGTTAGTGTGGTTGGAATCAATTCCATCCCATTCTTCTTTTGCTGATCTTGAAGCTTTCTTCACATGGGTTTTCAAAGGTGTTCAATTGTGGCTGCCTTTTGCTGCCAACCCATGTGGTTTTCTTTTGGTTGCTGAAAATAAATGATTCTTCTANGTGTAGGAAGGCCTGAGGTTTCAATATGTATCCAATGGGGCTCAAATTTGGATATGTCATAATAGACACCCATTGGAACACCTTTTATCAAGAATGTATTCCCATCTGAGTAGTAAAAGTGTACGTTTTGGGCCTTGCAAGTTGACTGCCGAAAATAGACTGGAATTGACAATGCATTGCAGTCAGCTTGTGGGCTTGTTTTGGGCTTGATCTTCCCTCCTAAAAAATCTGGAAAAATCTGGATCTTCAAACCCTTTGAATTATCTTTCCAAGAATATGCAGCCCAACTCAAGAAAAAATCGGAAAGTCCTTCAAATGTCATTTTTGTCCCAGTAACGCAGATGCAGCCGAATTTGACCTTAAGCTGCCAAAACTTGCATAACTTTCTCTAGAAGACTCGGAATCATGAACCGTAAAATTCTCTAGAAACTAGACTTCCACATTTTTCCAATGATATATGGCTCGTTATCTGGTTCTTCTTGAGCAAGTACAGTCCAATCCGTAAAGTTGACTAATATGCAAACACTGTTTTGAGCTAACTTGTCTCCAAAATGTGTTTAATGAGTCTCAAGCTTATTACACTGAAACAAACACAAAACTTATTAAAAGCACAAGTTTAACTCAAAAACATAACCAAATCATAAGTTAGAAGGATACAAAATGATATGTAATTATGCACCGATCAGCTCTCTTGACAAATTGTTCAGTAGGGCCCTGAATAAACAAGTAGAGTTTGCGATCTCCTAGTCCTGCAACCTTGCCTGGTGGGAAATACTGACCCCTCGTAGTAATGGCAGCTCCAGTCCACTTTGATATAGGTCCCAAAGTTTCCTTGTGGGTAACCTTCCATCGAGCATTCTATGGAAAATCATTTATCTCCAACTCTGCTTCATAGTGTTCAGGCATTGCATCAGCTTGGATCTTTGCCAGATTATGCTGCAAGTTCATCACAGCTGCAATTGCTGCAGCCCGAGCTACCCCATCATTGCTAACAACAGGCATACTAGTCCCAGCCACAGCTACTATTGTTCCTGGTAATGTTAGACCAAGGACACCTGGAAGAGAAACAGGCAGTCCACTATTGGGAAGCAGTTGGGCAGCAGGCACAGGGGTTTGCATTGAAGTTGTACTACCTTTAGAGGCGGCAGCAATGGCTGCTATCTGAGCAAGGGCAGCCTGCTATGAAATGTCTCCCCCTGCCTTTCGGATACCTTCATCTTCGTCTTCTGAATCTGACTTGTCATCCTCAAAACCATATTCTTTCGCTTGTGCCTTCTTTGCTGCTCTCCTCACTTCATCTTCCTCTTCATTAAATTTAAAACCACTTCCTCCATAACCAGTTCCATGGGCTTGCCAAGGTAGAGATTGTTGATGTTGGCTCACCTTAAAGATGCGAATGGATTGAACGGACAGTCGAACGAGTTGCAGACGTGTTGACTAGGCTCTGGCAATATACCAGAAGTTGCAAGCTCTCAAGCGGCAAAAGCTTTTCGTCCAGGCGCATGCACTTGAGTGGTAGAACTCAAACTCGAGCGAATGCAAGCTCAAGTGCCGCTCGAGCAGGACACATGAATCCATCGTGTATCCCTGGTGAATGTGGATATATTTTCTTCTAGTTTTGGGGTCCTTTAAGTTTTCTATTCCTTGTATAATTGTACTAAAGCCCTATGACATAAAAATATGCACTTTAGCACTAGGTTTTGATAACGTGAGAAAACTAAAGCATAAAATTGGGTTTCTGCCAAGGGTGAGAGAAAAGAGGGTTAGGGTTTGTGAGAGAGCATAGGGGGTTCTTCATTGTAACCAAATGGGTTATTCCATACTAGTGATTTTCTCGGAGATCACTGATAGGCTTTTTAGTACCTGCGCAAACAGGGTTAAAACTCCTACAAAACTTGCAAGAATGACAAGGTTGGTTAAAACTCCTATAAAACTTGCAAGAATGACAAGGTTATTGTAGTATAAATGATTCTCGCAAGGTCGTTCTCCGCAGGGATTATTAAATAACTCATAGCAACCAAATTCTAATTAATTATTGTAAAAGAGAAAGTTGAGATGTTTGATTTTAAGACCTTAACTTAAAACGAATTTAACTAATAAAAATAAGGCAATAGGCAAACTTAAAGCTAAGGGCAAGAGAAACAGTTGTGTTTTTAGAAATCAAATTAAGAAAGCACTAGGGATCCGCCGTCACCTTAACAATTCTATATAGTTCTCCCAATTACTTATGACCTATACATGCATATTTCGAAGGTTAGGTATTCCTAATATATGCCTACTTAGACCCCCAACATAGAGCGTATATCACGCATGCAATCCGTCTGTGGTATTCAGATCAAATTTAAACATACATGACTCATTAAGTTATGTGAAACCTTTTTGAAAAACCATGCAACCCTTAAGACGTGGTATTCATCCTAAGTGAACTTGCACATATTAATCACAAGAAGCCTTCGTCAATTTCAGGGACCGACCTCCAACCAAAACTGCATCAAATTACTTTTCTAAACATCCTAATGGTGATCAAGCATCAAGACACTTAGATAGTTTAACCCAGTGATGAATAATTCGAAAACCTGCATGCATATAATCATAAGCAAATTGGACAGAAACCACATATTCTTGCTAAGGCTCGTGGCCTCACCCTAGCAAAAGAGAGTTAGTTACGCATGTTCATAATTAAAACCAAAGAAAATATCATTCGAATGAATAAGAATAAAACCACCTTGAAGTAGAAGTTCTTCAAAAACCCTAGCAAAGTTGCGTTCAAAAGCCAAAAGAGAAGGAGTCCAAAAATTCTGTGAAATAGACTTTAAATACTCCCACAAACAAGCTGCCCACAACCAGCTTTTCTATCCCCACAAGGAAACTAAATAAAATAAAATAATGACATGATATAAAATCCAAATTGGACTAGGAGAATCTGTCCATAATCTGCCCAACCACGTTTTGGGCTCAAATCTCCTCCAAATCCAGCCCAATATAGCTTGTTTTAAAGATAAAAACGTTCTGAACACTTCTCCAGAAGGCCACGAATCCATCAGAGGTCATTTCGGGCTCCAAAAACGCCATAAAAAACGTCACTTTCCAGCACTGCGCACTGCTCCTTTATTTTATCGCCAGAAAATAACCGCTTGGTAGAAAAGTCTGAAATTTTGATACGATCAAGCCAAGTGACTCACGAATGACCTCCAACTGGAATTACTCCAAAATTCGTCCATTTGATTATGTTTTGCTCCAGAGAAAGTCGAAAGTCCTATATTGGAAATATAATTCAAAGTATCAAAATTCTTCCAAAATATCAACCAAAATATATTAAGAATGGGGCTAAATATATAATATAAAATATGCCCATCAATCACCTAGAGGACGTAGGCACAATGTCGAACCTCTATAAATTCTTGTGTTCTTTGTGTGCTTGTTTACTTTTCGGTTTGTATGTGCTTTATCTTTGCATGACTTGTGTGTGATAGTGATTCATTATCCATGATGAATAATTATTAGCCCTTCACTTCACCACTCTGCTCTGCAAATATGATGATTGAATATTGATTGAGATGCTAATCATCAGTGCTTGCTGGCTAACAGATATATTCAGTATCGAATTTTAATTGCTTTCTTCAAGCATATTTGCAGCTGTAACTTAGGATCAATTTGCAGAAGTAGATTGCTCAACTTTGCATTTAATGCTAATAATCTGAGTACAAGATTAAAAGTTGCCTTTGTTTACAATTTGCAAGTAAGTTTGTTTTTCCTTTTTCAAAAATTGCCTACAATTCTATTAGAAGATGGATGTAAAATTTTGCTTCAATGGAGGATGCTTTGTAGCTGTTTCACACTCGGGCCACAAGCCACATGAAAAAGGCGGACCAAAAAGTAAGTGATACTGAAGCGAAAGCATAAGTCCACAGCATGATAACTGAACATTCCTTTTCTCCTGCTCCGAACAATTGAGTCATTGTTCCTGCCATACATAAGGAAGATAAAGCATATTGTGAAGGGAAACAACACAATCAATTTGTTAGGAAAAAGAATGTCTGTTGATGATGAGAAATAACCAGTGGGGCAAATTGTAATTTGCATTGCAAAAATTGGAAGGGAAAATAACATCAGAAGAGCGTAGCGTACCTATGTTCATTGCTGGTGGGAGTGAAAACTGAAGCAAAAGAACAAACAGATACAATGGATCAGAGTGCACCAACCCAAATTTGAGTGCACCTTTAACAACCAATATTCCTATAAGAGGCAGGGCAACATAACGAACAATGATGATGCCTACAACCAGAGATTTCTGCATCCCTGGCCCTCTCAAACCTGAGAGAACAAAGTGAAGTAAGTAAAAACTGAAAAATAAATATGAAAATGGAAAAAGGTGGAGATTTTAGGAGTTGTATTACCTTTAAGTAGGTTTCCTCCTATTATCAAAGTGAGAGTTGGGATAGCTCCATCTCTGCAATCATAAAGAAGAAGTTAAAAGACTAACAAGTGTGAAGAACACAGATAAATCACTAGCGTTGTTTACAGTATGGGCAGAAGTTTTATACCCCAACAAAGAAGCAGTGTCTTGAACCACCCGTAGAGGAGCACCATCTCCTATCAGTGCTTTTCGAATCTGAGGGATGAGTCCGATTGAAAAACCAGCAATCTATACAAGAAAAAAAGAAGCTGAGTTTGGTCAATGTGTAAATAAAACAGAACTAAATGTGCATCAAGATGTATGTGCATTAAGTGCTGGAAGGACATACTGCTCCAGTAGTAGAAGGGGCAAATATTGTTTTCAGATTGAGCTTTCCAAACACCATCATTATACGTTGCTTTATTTTACCTGAAGTTGTCATCTGCCATGACAAATGACATTGATCAGAAATTGAAAAAGGAAAACAAAACAGAAAGGGGTGATGTTATATTGGCATACTGCGGATCATACATTCAAACAAGAAACATTCTCTTTATAAAGAATATCTTAAATAGTTGGAAATACGTAGACAAAGCGGAAAAACATGGTAAATTGATGGAGTTAGCAACCTTAGCGTTTTCCTCAGTTATAGTGCAGGGCAGTGCATAATGATTGGCATTTTCCTCCACTACCTCAGATTCCTTTGAAGAAAGCAGAGGCTCAGTGCAACTTATTTCGTTCGGTGTGGAGGATCTCACCGGAGACTGGGTTGAATCTTGGGTGCCTCTCTTTGCAGATATCCGCACAATATTATACACATAGGACCACAAATAAATGGCTCCTATCTGAAGAGCAAAACCAATTGTATGAATAAGGCAGATTGTACTAATAAAAAGAAAATATTTCAAGAGAATGCACTAAAAAAGAGACAGTGTTCACAAAACATATAGTTATTTGAAGAAATTATTTCCTGCATTTGTTTTTTCAGATATTGGTGTTTCTAAGTTACAATGTGATGTTTGTGAACTTGCTAAGAGTCATCGTGTTTCTTTTGATTCTAGTTTGAATAAAAGTTTTGTCCCATTTCAGATCATTCATTCTGATGTTTGGGGTCCATCTACACCTTCTTCATTAGGTGGATCTCGTTGGTTTGTTACATTCATTGATGATTGCACTAGGATGACATGGGTATGTGTTATGAAATCCAAAGGGGAAGTGAATACATTGTTTCAAAAATTTCATAAGACTATTACTACTCAATATAACATGCAAATTCAGGTTCTCCGCAGTGATAATGGAGGAGAATATACGAGTACAAAGTTGAGGAATTATTTGGAATTCCATGGCATTGTCCATCAAACCACTTGTCCATATACCCCTCAGCAGAATGGGGTAGCTGAAAGAAAGAATCGTCATCTCTTAGAAGTTGTTCGCACTTCTCTTGTTGATGCCCATATGCCACCCTCATATTGGGGTGAAGCCCTTACATCTCAACTTATGTGATTAATCGAAGTCCTTCCAGAACATTGGGATTTCAAACAACGCTACAAAGCCTTACTGCAGCTATTGCCGCTCCTCCTATCTCCAATCTACCACCACATATTTTTGGATGTGCTACTTTTGTCCATTTACATAAACATCAACGGAGTAAGTTAGCTCCCCATGCTTTACAATGTGTTTTTGTAGGTTATGGCACATCCCAGAAAGGGTATCGTTGTTATCACCCTCCATCCCAAACCATGTATATCACTCGAGATGTTGTGTTTCATGAAGACACCCTGTATTTTCCCCATGAGCCTGAACTTCAGGGGGAGCACCAGAAGGAAGTTCAGTTATTTGATTACAGTCATAATGTTCAGATTTATGAGATGGATGACTGCTCCAACTCAGGGGGAGCGTCTCTTGTACCCATGGCGGCATCACCGGTTTTGCTCATGCCACAAAGCCCAACATCATCAAAGGCACCATCATGATTGGATTTATCATTACCGGGTTCATCAACATCACCATTGTCGTCTCCGGCGTCTGTGTCATCACTGCCCCAAGATGGCACAGTGCAATTGGATAATGTAGTTGATATAGATTGTTCAGTACACCAAGTGCCTACACCTAACCAATTCGTTGCTAAGGATGTTCCTACACCACCAAAGAGACAGATGCCCAATCGTTCTACTAGAGGTATTCTTAAACTCACATATGAACCTGATCTTGCCAGTAAAGTAAAATACCCCATGAGTAATTATGTCTCTGACCATAAATTGTCTGAATCAAATAAGTCATTTGTCAATCAATTATCTTCTGTATCTATTCCTAACAGTGTGCAGGAAGCCTTAGTTGACTCTAAATGGAAAAATGCTATGAATGAAGAAATGAAGTCACTTCAGAAGAATGGGACATGGGAGCTTATCAATCTTTCTGCAGGAAAGAAAACTAGTTGGGTGTAGGTGGATATATTCAGTGAAATATAAAGCAGATGGTACAATCGAACTCTTCAAGGCACGGTTAGTTGCAAAAGGGTACACTCAGACATATGGCATTGATTACATGGAGACATTTGCTCCAATAGCAAAGATAAATACGGTGTGGGTATTACTATCATTGGCTGTCAATTTGAATTGGCCCTTGCAACGGTTTGATGTGAAAAATGCTTTTCTTCATGGAGAATTAACTGAAGAAGTATATATGGATATCCCACCTGGGTCCCAAATACCCACTGAGCATAGACATAAGGTATGCAGATTAAGAAAATCATTATATGGTTTAAAGCAATCCCCAAGAGCATGGTTTAGAAGATTTACAAAAGCTATGAGAAATTTCGAGTATATGCAAAGTAACTCAGATAACAACTTGTTCTTGAAGCAACGGAACGACCAAATTACTGCTTTTATTGTGTATGTTGATGATATGGTGGTCACAGGAAATGACTCTGATGAACGAGAAGCTTCGAAGAAGTATTTATCTCAAGAATTTGAAATGAAGGATCTTGGTGATTTAAAATATTTTCTGGGAATTGAGGTTTCTAGATCACATGAGGGAATTGTCTTATCTCAAAGGAAATATGCATTAGATTTATTGAGTGAAACTAGAATGTCTGCTTGTTAGCCTGTAGATACACCCATGGAAGAAGGATTGAAGTTGGAGATTGAAGCTGATCAAGTGCCTGCTAATAAAGGGCGTTATCAGAGGTTAGTCGGAAGGCTGATGTACTTAGCTCATACAAGGCCTGATATTGCCTATGCATTAAGTGTTGTTAGTCAATTTATGCATAATCCTAGAGAGAAACATATGAATGCAGTGATGAGAATTCTGAGCTATTTGAAAGCAGCTCCTGGAAAAGGAATTTTGTTCACAAAAGATGATAACTATTTAAAAATCAGAGGCTACACTGATGTTGATTGGGCTGGTGATGTGGGTGATAGAAGGTCCACGTCAGGATATTTTACATTTGTTGGTGGAAATCATGTCACGTGGAGAAGTAAGAAACAGAATGTTGTTTCTCATTCAAGTGCTGAAGCAGAATATAAGGGACTGGCCCTTGGAGTTCAAGAATTATTATGGTTATAGTTATTGTTGACTAATTTGGGTTATCCACCAAAAGAACCTATGAAATTATATTGTGATAATAAGGCGGTGTGTGATATTGCACACAATCCGGTACAACATGATCGGAAAAAGCATGTTGAAGTGGACAGGTTTTTTATCAAGGAGAAATTAGATGAAAAGATTGTGGAAGTGCCTCAAGTACGCTCTGAAGATCAATTAGCTGATATACTCACTAAGACGGTTTCTAGTCGGATATTTGATAAGTGTGTTTGCAAGTTGAGCATGTTCGATATTTATGCCCCAACTTGAGGGGGAGTGTTGAATTATTCTAATTATGTAATTATTGTAGTATATATTAGGATTCCTTACCATAGAAGGATTCTTGATCCCATAATTGATGTAATTACTTTTCTGTAATTCCTAGTGTAAAATCACTATATATTGCCTCCTTGAGAGAAGAATATTATTATTCTGATTATTCCCATAAAATTCTGATTTTCAAGTTAAACTATCAAAACTTATCTTGTGCATGTTCCCCATAATTCCGTACTTTGAGTAATACAAAACTAGATAAAGGAAGTTCGAGACAAAAAATATTAGCAGAAGAAGAAGAAATGTACCGCCATTGAAAGTGAAGCATAAGCCAATCCATAAGTACGACAGACATCAGGAGCTCCAAATGGGCTCCCTTTTTCTTTACAAACAGCTGGGACTATAATGAGGAGCAAGTTCCCCAAATTTCCTGTTTAAATCAACTCAGGAGAAACAAGGTATATTTTATCAGTGATATGCTTAAATATGTTCAATTAAACATATATATGCTTAAATATGTGTTTACCTGCAGCACAGCAACCCAAGACAAGGCCTCGCAGATGTGCAGGAGGTCTTGTTAGCAGGAGGAGTATCCATCCTAGTATCGAACCAACAATAAATGTGATGAGGATATTCACCGGCATGAACCACCTACACATACAAATATATACACATTCAATCATATCAAACTTGTTTTGAAGTTTAAACCAATAAAACTTGAGCAATAAATCTGCCTACATGAAACAAACTGGTGCAGTAACCATATTGAAATTAATTTTAACTCACAGCTTAACCATGCTTTCATATGTTACTGTCCGCGCAAGGTTGCTGCTCACCAGGGCAGGATTCAATACGTAAAATACAACCTGTTGATAAAAAAAAACACACTTATGTATGTAGAAAGAGTGAAACCATACAAAAAAATTCTATGATTTTAGCATCCAACACAATCTAAGGTAGCCACAGAATCTATTTGGACAAAGATGCTAAATGAAAAGTGCATGAATGAAATAAGAAGTTACAGTGTTTAAGTGCTTCCTAGTGTCTTCCCCGAGGATGTTGACGTGATCAAGCGCAAGATATGAGCCAAGCGCAGTGATCAAGAGCACTTTCAACACCGGAATTGAGGCGGTGATGAAGAGCTGCAAAACCTCCATCCTTGCTGAACCTGAATTATACTTGTTATTATTATCCCTCCCTTCACCACTCTGCTCTGGAGCTGGAAATGAGCTTTATTTACCTCCTCTCCTCTGCAAACATAAAATAAGAAAGAATAAAAAAAGACAAACCTAATTAAAATGCCATTTTTGTGAGAGGAATTGAAGAACATATGATGATATATACCTATGAATCTGTAGACGCGGCAGAGCAGAGTATCTAGCTATTTGCTATTTGAAATTTCCCAAATATTTTTTTATTCAAGAAATAAATTAAATGAAGGACATAAAAATTCAGAATTCCTCCTCCTCATAGACTCTGGTAAGAAATGCTTGAATATGGTTGCAGAAAAACTCAAGTTACCAACAAGAAGCCAAGCACATATTTATATATATTATACGGCGCATTGAACACGAGCAAGTCCTATTCAGGAATTTAAGAAAAAGGAGTATGCATTTGATTTGCGTCGGCCCGTGTTGTCTATTGTGTTGGTCGATGGCTCAGATAACGACTGCTAATTTATATCTGGGTTCCTGTCGTTTTCCGGTTGCCATTGATGACTTCATCTGCATGGAACATCTTGGTATTGCGGGACCTCTCTCGCCATCGCTACTCTTTTTTATCTATGTTCCTCGTCCTTATTACGAGGGAGAGTTCGGTGCAACCACACATTCTCATTCAATGTGATAAAAATGATATAAATTTATTATAAATTTATCGATTTTATAACTTTGATCTCTATAGTTTCAATTTTATCAATTTTATCCATGTAATTTTTAATTACAAGCAAGTCAAGGACACCCCTTAATTTATGTGAAATCAGGTCTCTTGTTTCTCAACCATGTAATTTATGTCTGGCCAAATCAGCCATGTGATTAGTCAATCCGTTGTTGAGCAACAGTGAGCGCCTCCACATACTACTCATCTTCAGGAGACCCATGGTTTGCTTGCACATCCAACGACTTCATTGTTACAACAATCACTTCAGCATGCATCCTCATATTATAGAGAAACTTCTTCACATAAGCCTTGAGCCCATATGCATCAGTGTCCTCCTCCGCATAAAACCTGGATTTTACAACTCTCAAAGCTTTTCTTAGTGAGGAGTAGAGATTGAACGAGTTGAGAGAGAAGAAGCATGAGACCACCATCCATCTCTCACTATCTAATACAAATCAATGGTACCACACAACCCACTTCGTCCACCTTCGAATGAAGAATTTCTCACCCTCTACTTGCCCTTAATCTGAACCTTATGTCAATTGAACCAAATTCAAACCCATAAATCAGAATATTTTAAGAACCCTAATCCCCAATTCGGGTCTGATGTGGAATAGGACAAGAGCTAAATTTTTCAGCCAAAAAAATAGAAATAAAAGGAAGACGAGCTAATTTTTGGTAAAAGACGAGAGCTAATTTTATATGGTACGAGTGGAACAAAATACCCCTCCACATGAGGAGCACACTTTAAAAAAGTAACAGAAGTTAGAGTGACAGATGTCTTTGAATTGCTTGAACTCGAAAACTACACGGATAAAATTGATTAAATTGAAACTACGATGACCAAAATAGTGAAACCGTTAAATTACCAAGACCAAAAATGACTTTTTGCTTTATGATTTTTAGATAGTGTAAATTATGGTTATAAATGCTTGAGAAATCAACACCCACAATTTATTATTTATCTATATATATAAAGCAAAAGGCAGAGAATGGTGAAACATTCAAAATACCAGAAAATGCCCTTGGTTAATGCAAACATTAAGAATTGAAATTATTAATTAAATGAGGATAATATGGTAAATTCACATTTTTTCATATTTAAAAAAATTAAAATGAAAAGAAAAATCAGATAATGGTCTATTTTTATGGAATACAACTACCCATTATCCTTTTCAATTCTAAAATAAATTTTAATTTTTTTAAAAAAAGCCTCTCGCATGCGCGGAAGCGCGTGCGAAGAGGCTAGTATATATAAAGCAAAAGGCAGAGAATGATAAAACATTCAAAATACCAGAAAATATCCTTAGTTAATGCAAACATTAAGAATTGAAATTATTAATTAAATTAGGATAATATGGTAAATTCACACTTTTTTATATTTAACAAATTTAAAATTAAAAGTAAAATCAGATAATGAATCCTCTTTTTATGAAACACATCTACCCATTATCTTTTTTAATTCTAAAATAAAATTTAAAATTATATATAAAAATGAAAAAGGAAACTTGCACTTGTCAACTTTAAAGATTGGGTGCAATAGCAATCCGGTGTAGTAACAATTGAGTTTAAGAAATGAAATTAAAAGGACCGAAAAACAATATTTCATGAGCTGAAACGACTGGTCATGGATCTGATGGCCCCGCCAAATAGTAAAGTGACAAAAAAAAAGAGACGCACTAGATTCGCATTCTAGTCTATTTGTCCGTTTCATGTGCGAGAGAAGAGAGAAGTACAAGACAAATAAGGAAGACAAAGAAAATCAGAAAACGTACTCTCAATCTCAACTCTCCTCCACTTGCACCTCTACCCATTCCTCGCTCATTTTCAATCATCCGTCAGCCACAAGAAAATAATAAAAATGGCCCTACCCAATCAGTATCCAGCCTGCTAGCTAGCAGCGGTCTTAGGCTCAAGTCCCATGGTACTATGTGTGTGACTCCCTCCCCCCCCCCCTTCTAAGTTTGGCCAAAAAAACAAAAGAGAGAAGATGAAGAGAAATCCCCATGAGGCAACCATATACATCTTTTCCTTTGGGTGGTGAATGGCCTTGAAATTCATTAGAGCTCGAGCTAGAGAAAGTAATGGTTGAGAGAGTAGGTCATAAATTTCTTATGGTCGTCTGTGAGAAAAGAAAAGGACAGGTGAGACTAAGAGGAAGTTTTTCTTTTGGTCTGCCTGGACTAAGAGGAAGGTGAAACAACACATGACAAAAATAACAACAGAATCATTTCATTTAAAGCAGATTATCAGACAAAAAGCTCTGGGTTACGAGCCTAGAGAGGCCACATACAATTCCGGTAGTATCTAACCATTTCAGACATTAGTACGCATAGTAATCACAATTGCTAAACAAACAACTCGGGATACGAAAAGAAAAAACCATGTAAAATGACCCTACTGTTTCTGCTACAGTATGAAGCAAGCAAGCACCAATAACGCATTTTCTTCTAGGCCTTTTCTAAACCTAACCACCTATCCCGTCATCATCAAACCCAGCAGCTGATAGGGTAGGGACCACTCTCCACACCGATCTCTGCTCACCAGTGGCGGACTCAATTGAAAGCGTTCATGTCAAGTATTTGATGGATGAGAAGGTCATTTCCTTTAACTTTTCTTCTTTGATAGCTCAAGCTGAAACAAACAAACAACACATCAGCAAAGCTTCACTGTTGCTCATCTACTTCCTAAATTAAGATCTCCAATAGAAGGGCGGCCAATTAAACTAATAAAAACAAACAAAACCAATATTTTTAATAGAAAGCAAAAGCACAGCCTCAACTTTAGATCATTAAAGCATTCCCATCAACTACAATGAACACAGAAATCAAAAAGGTAATGAACAAAGTCAAAAGCAGCCTCCACAACAAAGGTGTAGCAACCCCATACGGCAACAAAGCAGAGGGCACAGGACTGGTGATCTCTGTGAGGAGCTCAGTCACCCGTTATAGCAAACAATGCCCCAAAAGCTAATCCATTTTGAGACCAGCTGATTGAACGGAAGTAAAGGTCACCTTTTAACAGTACAGAAAGGATGCAGAACAAGAAATAATGGACCTCCTACTAAAAGCATCTCTTCAGATGTAATCCAGTGCTCTACCTTAAGGAAGTATGTATATGTACATGCATTGGCTCCAGCAATTTCAAGACAATACCTGGAAACAATCACCAAAAAGGAAACTAGAGCAATCAAATACATAAATAGTAATCACAAATCTCACCACTCATGGAATACAAACAAAACAGAAAATGGACCAGAAGATTCTAAGCACATCCGTTCAAAATGAAGAACAGTAACATGAGGAGAAAGTGTCGCACCACGGTCGCATCTCTTGGACAGCTTTGTAATGGGCAGAGAATATTGAACATGCGAGCATATGCATATAACATCCCTCGCACCATGGAAACGATAAACAAAAAAAGAAGAACAAAAAATCAAAAGGGGCCAGAAAATTGCGCAAAGCAAGACAAATTCGTAACAGTTCACACAACAAAATCCAATCTGTATCTGATTCCTCATTGTCAAAATAAAATGACTTCCTAAATGACAATTGTAAATCAAGCTTAACCTGGATTCAGGAAAAGATTAATGAGATTTCACTCATACATTAACAAATTTGGTTCTCTTAGAAGTTGAATATTTTATCCAGCAGTAAAGTGCAAGTCAATCAGTTAACCAGAACCATTCAATATGGAATTCATTAGGTGACTGAGAATTGACCAGGAACTGGGAAGCAAATTAAGTTCAGGATAAGCCGATAACAGTATGCCTAAAGTAAGTTGGAGTTAAGATCTCACACTTATAGAACTTGATATCTGCCTTGCTGAGCTCCACCAGGAAGTGATAATGCCTGATTTGAGATGTCTTCCAAAACACGTTTTAATTCTGCTTTGGCTCTCTTGACAGATTGTTCAGTAGGGCCCTCAATAAACAAGTAGAGTTTGCGATCTCCTGGTCCTGCAACCTTGCCTGGTGGGAAATACTGACCCCTCGTAGTAATGGCAGCTCCAGTCCACTCTGATATAGGTCCCAAAGTTTCCTTGTGGGTAACCTTCCATCGAGCATTCTGTGGAAAATCATTTATCTCCAACTCTGCTTCATAGTGTTCAGGCATTGCATCAGCTTGGATCTTTGCCAGATTATGCTGCAAGTTCATTGCAGCTGCAATTGCTGCAGCCCGAGCTGCCCCATCATTGCCAACAACAGGCAAACCAGTCCCAGCCACAGCTGCTGCTGTTCCTGGTAATGTTAGACCAAGGACACCTGGAAGAGAAACAGGCAGTCCACTGTTGGGAAGCAGTTGGGCAGCAGGCACAGGGGTCTGCATTGAAGCTGTACTACCTTTAGAGGCGGCAGCAATGGCTGCTATCTGAGCAAGGGCAGCCTGCTGTGAAATGTCTCCCCCTGCCTTTCGGATACCTTCATCTTCATCTTCTGAATCTGACTTGTCATCCTCAAAACCATATTCTTTGGCTTGTGCCTTCTTTGCTGCTCTCCTCACTTCATCTTCCTCTTCATTAAATTTAAAACCACTTCCTCCATAACCAGTTCCATGGGCTTGCTCGAGTCCCTGATTTACTTTTGCGGTGAAACCATCCGCAAGAGATTTCAGGTCATCTGGAACAACTTGCTCAGAGAGTTCCAATGCTTTGACAAGATCTGGAGCGTATCTAGCATCTTCCTCAGAGACAAACGTTATAGCACAGCCTTTCCGACCAGCTCGCCCTGTACGGCCAACACGGTGAACATAGTCTTCATAGTGATTTGGACTATCAAAGTTGATCACCAGTTCAAGCTCCTTGACATCTAACCCTCTTGCAGCAACACTAGTTGCAATCAACAAATTACAAACATTGCTTTTAAAATCAGTTATGGTGGACTCACGATCTGTTTGATCTTTGCCCCCGTGAAGTGAGAGACAAGGATATCCATGCCTAAGCAGATCCCTAAATAAAGCATCACATTTATTCTGTGACTCGACAAATATCAAAATTTTTCCTTTCTCATACCACTCCCCAAGTAACTCTAACAATCTCAAGAACCTTTCATTTTCCAGCCTCACTTCAACCAATTGTGCTATGTCCTTATTCACAACACTCCTACCACCAACTTGTATTTCCACAGGTTTGTTCAAGACTTTCCGTGCCAAGACTTCAACCTGGCGAGGGAAAGTGGCAGAAAACAATACAGTTTGACGATCTGGCCGAATATTTTGAACAATTCGAGTGATTTGAGGTTCAAAACCCATGTCAAACATTCGATCAGCTTCATCCACAACCAAATACGTTACTCTACGCAGATTTGTTATTCTCCCTCCACTTGTACAAAGTATGTCAATCATCCTACCGGGAGTACAGACAACAATTTCAGCTCCCCTCTTCAATTCACTAATTTGTTGGGCAACACCAGAACCTCCATACACAGGCACACACCTGAGACCCAGTACCTTGGTAAACTTTTTAATATCACTGTGAATCTGCTGAACAAGCTCCCTAGTTGGTGCCATTATAAGCCCAATAGGTCCATCTCCTGCTACCACAGGTGGCTGGTCCTTGATATGCCTCAGCATTGGCAGCACGAATGCAACAGTTTTGCCTGACCCAGTTTTTGCAATGCCAATACAATCTCGACCACTCATAATTACAGGCACTGCCTGAGCCTGAATTGGCATTGGCTTTTCATAGTTTAGCTTCTTTATTGTTTCCAAGATTTTACTTGTAAGCCCAGTTTGGTGCCACATCTTGATCGGCTTTGGCACATCCTTACCGTGTATCTTCAATTCCAATTCTTTCCGATATGCACCCACCTGTTCTGGAGTCATTCTAGAGATCTCCTTCACCTCAATATAGAAATTTTTGCGGAATGGATCATAATCTATCTTAGAGTGATCAACTACAGAAAGCTTCTCAGCTTTTGTCTTTTTCACCCTTTTTATGAACTCATCATCACCTTCATCTTCTAGGGGGTCATCATCATTCTCAAGGTCCCCATAATCCGAGTCAGAATCCTCCCCAGGAATTATTCTGCCCATAGATTTATTTGAACCTCTCCTTGGCTGTTCACCATTACTTAGATCATCCTTTTTATCCTTGTTCTTCTCATCAACAATTGATGGTTCCACAGCATTGTTCAGCTTCTCAACTTCAGGCAATACCATAGAATTCATAAAAGCATCTAATGGATCAACTTCTTCATCACCAACAGCATCATCAGCCCCATTCTGCAAAGTAGGTGCATCTGTTTCATTCTCAGAATCTACCACCATAGCATCTCCGCCAACTTCTCTGTCAGTAAGATTGTCTTCTCCATCAACATCCATATCCCTCTCTGATTTCCCTAATGAGGGTACTTCTTCATCATCAGATTCTCCTTCAAGAGTCCAGGCCTTGCCGGACTTAGGTTCATCAACATCCCCTTCCCCACGTTTCTCTCTCTCAGATTCTTCCTTCTTCCTTTTTAACTCTTGCCACTCCTGAACTCTCCTTCTCCGCTTTTCCATTTCCTCATCCAATTTCCGCTGTTCATCCTCTAACTCCTCCTCACGAGTTGGCTGCTTCTCTTTCTTAACTGAATCATCTTCATCACTCTTCTTTCTCGGGCTCCCATCTCCATCATCCCTATGTCTGTTTGACCTGCTGCTACTCCTTTCCCTCTCTTTCTCCTTGTACTCATTTTCATCTTTCCTATGCCGCTTCCTACCACGCTCCCTAACATCATCATCAGTATCATCAGTATCAATGTCCCTGCGCCTCTCCCTCTCCCGTATCCTCCTCTCTCGATCTCTGTCCTTTTCCCTCTCCCTATCTCGCTCCCTCTTTTCCCTCTCTCTATCTTCTCCTTCTCTTTCTCGTTCCCTTCTCTCCCTCTCTCTTTCTCGTTCCTTTTCTTTTTCTCTTTCTTTTTCTTTCTCTCTATCTCTTTCTTTTTCTCTTTCTCTTTCTCTTTCCCTCTCCTTTTCCTTCTCTCTAGCCCTCTCTCTCTCCTTCTCCTTCTCCTTCTCCTTCTCTTTATCTTTTTCTCTCTTCCTGTCTCTCGTTCTCTCTCTTTCATCATCCCGGCTTCGTGTCCTATCAGTGTCCCTGTCTCGATGCTTCTCTCTATCATACCTATCCTCAGAATCAGAACTCTTTTCTCTCTCAGAGCGCCGACTATCACGGTCTCTCTTATCTTTATCTTTATCTTTATCCCTGTGTCTCTCTCCATTCCTCTCTTTTTCACGTTGCCGATCTCGATGACTCCTCTTGGATTCCCCCTCCTTCCTGGATTTATGCTTGCCCTCTTCCATTTCTTTCTTCCTATGCCACTCATAAACACAAAAATCAGTTCTCATTCCAATTATGGACAAGAAAACACAAACAGAAAACCCTAACACCACTCTACTTGCATAATCCAACATGAATTCTAATTCCTTCCAATGTCTTCTCAAATTAAAGCAACTAAAATTACCAAAGCTTGAATTTACATTAACATTAACATTAACAATAACAGAACAAAGCGAGCACACACGAGCATGTAAATTATAAATCAAAGGAAACAGACAACTTTATTCCATTGAATAACAAACAGAACAATATATGTACAGTGAAACCAAGGTGGTCTTTTTTATCTTAAATCTGAATAGACCTTTATTGAACTTAAATCTTGATAGACCTTATAACACACGCTTTAATACATATCTTTCTTTGGTTTTTAAATCTTAAAACAAGTGTTAAGTTTGTCTGATCATAGTTGCCTAATTCGCTCACACCCCTAAGAATTTCGATCTGGATCGAGCGTACCCAATCGGGTTACGGTATCGATCTGGAACGAAAGATTTAACGACTCAGTTCCAGAGGAGAGAACAGTACCTGATACACGACGTCGCTGCTACACAAGAGTACCGGACCGCCGACAGCAGACGAGCAATCGAGGGCACATGAGGGAGAGTGCTATAGCTAATGAGCCCACGTTTGATTCTTGGTCTCTTGGTCTCTTGGCATAAGGGTAAGGAAGAACTTGGGTTCGGAGAGGATTTTTTTAGACGAATAGATTCGAAGAGGTGGGATGGGTGATAGGGCTGGGTGATAAATGGATAGGCGTAAGAGCATTTCCAGAGGACAGCCCAGCCCACCTGGTCTCCCAAAATCAGCTCCAGCACGGGCAGGGCAAGGCCCAAGGCAAGATAGGCGCTGATGTCAGCAAAGAAAATAATTTTTTTATAAAAAATCTGAAAAATTATCAAAAAATTTTATACATGCCTACAAATTTTTATTTATTAATCTCATACATATAAATAAAATTAATCTCAGGTGAACAGTATTTTTCTTTGGGTTGCCATGGCAATGGGTCGAAAAACACACACAAAATTACTGTGGCATATACTATTCAAGTAAACAGTAACTGTCCTTACTTGTGCCATAACAAATGGGTGGAAGTGCTCTAAGGGGAACGTATTAGAGGTTGGGTAGGTGGGTGTGTCAATATAATAAAAGTATTGCTTCTGGTTTCAAGAATTTAGTCTCGTTCTCCTAGACCTTATGGTCTGAGGAAGTTGTGGTTACCTGCCCTTGGATCTACTCTAACGGTTGAGAAAAAACTTGTTTAAATATCAATATGTCATCTTTTATTTTACTTTTACTCTAATAAAATACTATTTTAGTTATTAAAACAAATTTTTTTTTTTTTTAAGAAGAGTTTAATATCAAAGATGAAAAACATGATCAAAAAACTCATTCGTATCTAAGACCATTGTCTTCGATGCTAGTCATCTTTCTCCTTCATGCCTAGTGAATAAGAAAACATAAACCTTTTATGAAAGTACAATATAGTTGCAAAAACCCAAGTCTGGGTTTATCAACTGAAATAAATAAATAAATAAACAAATAAACAAACAAATAAACAAACAAAAAACCCAAAATTTGTTTGTAAAAAATTTAAGTTTTCCCAAACTGGGTTCATGAATCATTCAAATCTAACATTTATAAACAGAAAATTGATCACAAAGGCAGAGAATAACAGGAAAGTGACTTGGTTGTGGGTCCTTGAAATTCAATCACGTTAAGATTTAGGATTCATAGAATCATCCTGTGATTGTTGATTGGTTTATTTGTGAAATTTCATGTTATAAAAATCTCTTCAGGCATAATTTGATTTATTGGGTTTTTATGCACTATTGTTAATTTGCTTTATTATCTTCGCTTTGCAAAAATAGGAATATGAATTGGTGTTTACTTCTCAAAAATCTCGTTCTTAGAGTTCTAATTGGACTTGTGCTTTAGGAGGAGATTGGGATGTAATAAGAAGTTGTATTGTTACTTTTCCTTTTTTTTATTTATTAACTTTACTACTTTTTGTGTGCTTGCTGAGGCAACTATAGAAGAATATAAGACATATATCAATATGCTTTCTATTGTTGGCTACCTAAAGATCAATTATGAGCCAAGCCTTTTTGGATATCATAAAAAACATGACAACTCATCATGCTATTTTGAAAGATTTGTTTCTACATAATAAATTTGGAACATGTTTATTATCTAATTACTAGTGCTCGCTTTTTCTTTTGGCAGGTTATTTTTGTTCTCGCTGCTGTTTTTTTGCTGGGAGCGGGTTTATTAGAAATAATTTGCAAATAGGTGAATTCCCCTGCTATTTCTTGTAGTCATTAACTTTTCTTATTTAAGTTTGTGTCTATATTTTCTTCTATATAGTCGTTATAAATACAAGTTTTAGATGGATAGGCAGTGGATTGCCAAATTATAAGAAAGGGATTGAATCCTTCATTGATGTTGCAAGACACCATGTGAATGCTAGTGGGATTGAATCCTTCTCATCCAACACCTACTCATCCAACACCTACTCATCCAGCTCATGGGACAACTCCTCAAGAGGTGTAGATTGGTGAATAAATGGTGATGCAGTAAACTCTTCAGGAGGTCACACATGAAGACACAAGTATTATTTTTCTGTTTTATAATTCTATAGTTTTAGATTAGTGAATAAATGGTGAAGTAGTAAACATTTGTTGGTTGGTGTACTTAAATTTGTTATGTTTTTATTTATATGTTAATTATATAGTTAAATTTCTTGCGAAAAGTAATAAAATTTACAATGATAGGAATTATATAAAATGCGTCAATGTCAACTTGTGTAACCGCGCACCAATAGGCTGGATGGTTTGTTTTATTGTATACTGATGTTCTGTTTTTGATTTTGGGTTTGCAGAGGCTACTTCTATGTCTTCTGGCATGAAGCGACGAGGAAGATCTTATGGGAAACGCCTCCATGACCTCATAGAAGCCAATGATGGGAAACCACTAACTTGATAAAATGGGGGGCCCGTGGAGCATTGGCATTGGCTTTGTGATAAAATGTACACTGAACCCACTTTTGTGGTATGTATTCCATAATTGTTTTACGGTTTTATTTTTTATTTTTTAAGTAACAGTGTATTTGTTATTGTAATAGTCAATTCATGTATTTTTTTATTGCAGGAGAAGTCGAAGAAAAATTCTAATAACCGTAAAAAGAAGAAAGCAAACCACAGGGGAGGTGCATGCTCATTTGTCTAGCATGCTCAGCAGGCTGTTAAAGTAATATAAAGTTACATAGCTACTTTAAATATTTTCCAATTGATCTTAATCAGTTTTTTTATTTCTGATTTATAAGAGGGGAAGCCTTTATCATTCATTGATAATTGGGAAAGGCTACATAAAGACAAAGAGCATAATTGGATTAGTGAGGATGCCCAAGAAAAGCATGTAATGATTTATATTAGTATTGCACCGAAATTGATAGAAATCGTGGATCCTCTTACATATTTAGAAAACACTATGTAATACTTCTTTTTAGATTGGTGTTGGTTGATTACTTCTTCTTACAGACAGTTACTAATGGCATCTCATATGGTCATATGCAAGTTTAATTTGTTGGTTTGTCTATAAGAAAAAATGAAACGAATGCAAGATGAACTGAGGGCCAAGATGATTGAGGAGGCTGATGAGGATATTGAGGTTGATTCAATACGAGTTTCAATTGAGGCTGAGTTCAAGATCATGGGTGATGTACTTGGAGTGAAAGGTAGGACAGTTCGTGATCTTGGTGCTTTTCCTCGAATGGAAGCCAATATATCAACTACTACTTTTTCTGGAGCTTCTAATTTTGAGCTTAGCAAGTTACAAGATACAGTACAGATGCTTGCCACAAATATGCAAAGTGTGCAGGAAGATTATTCAAATTTGAGGGCTAATTTGGTGGCAGCTCTGGAGGCATCCAACAATGGTGGGCTAGATAATGCACAGTTGATGTCAATGTTGCGTGCAGCTTTGATGCATTCGGTAACAACCTAGGATGAGATTTACATGTTTACATTATGTTATTTTGGATATTAAGCATGTTTATAACCTTGGATATACTATTAAGCAAATACTTAACTTGGATATGCTATTTTGGATATTATTCATCTATTATATGAAGCTTTTGTATTCTAATGCAAAGTATTATATTTATTAGGATCATTGTCATGAAATCATTCACACGTATTATCAATTGTGATGATTTTTTTGGCATAACAAATCATCCAATATGACGATTTGTTATACGTCATATTTTCAACAAAGTGACAATTTCTAAAGCTTCACAAATTGAATGTTGTGACAACTTGTCTGTCGTCATATTAGATGTCATGTGACCACTTGCCAGTCATCAAAAAATGAATTAGGTGACCTATTGTTACACGTCACAAAAGAAACAATGTGACAAAACACGAGAAGTCATATATTGTAAACAGTGACAAATTCTTACCTCGTCACATTGTACTATATGTGACACTAAGTTATAGTCATCACATTTTACATCGGATGAGGGGTCTAATGTGACGACCCTTGTGACTCCAGAATATGGTCACTTTAACGTAATCGTGAGGAAATTGTTCCTAATGTGAGGAAATGTTTTCATCACATTAGCCTTTTTTTTCTTGTAGTGCTTGTATGCTTATTTCTTGTTGTGAGATGGCTGAACCTAAATTCGTTTGATGTTTTCCTCATTCTAAAAGGTTGATTTGAGTGTGTTTACTTGTAATTTTTTGGCATGTATTTGTGTTAACCCTAATTTTCAATTTGATTTGGTTTCTTATTCATAATATCTTGTTTATGCATATGTTCAGATGATGCGTGTTATTAACCATCTTCTATCTCCAAGAAAACGGAGCAAACAGATTGGCATTGGCATTTCAAACCATGTTATTTCTCCCGAATTTGCTGCTTCTTTACTTAGGGTGGTGCATAATCGGGTGTATCTACATGACCCGAAGAAGTTTCCTCCTAGCATTTCTGTATAATCGGTTGTATTCCACTTGTTGATCCGGTAACCGGTTACATCACTCCTTCCCTCTGTTCTATTTACAGGTAATTATTATTCCTCCCCTTCCATAGATATTGGAGATTTTATCATATCTAGCTTACATTTTTGTAAAATTGTTTTTCATTTTTTCTAGAGATATTCTCACGTTGATGATGCATTTGCTCAATTATACTGATGATTGTCATGAGAATGTCACCCTGGATAACATATGACTAAGAAACGGAAGCACAGTGTTAGGCTGTCCAAAATATTCAAAGACTGAAGTCATGGGTAAGGCTGAACGTGATACCGATACCAAAATGTTTGAACGTGTAATTGACATCATTCATGATGATTTATTGCTCAAGGAGTTAGAATTCTTCTGCAGGATCTTGCACAATGATGTCGCGTAAGTCACATATTATTATTATTATTGAACTATCAGTATGTTTTTGAAAACGTTTTTAATACTATCATATATGATTTGTTATCTTTTTTAATATGAGAATTAATGTTGGTGTCTCTTACTCTATTTTATTGAAACAAGAGTAAATAGCCTCTATAGATAGATAATTCTGTCATATGTTCTCCACATTGCATTGCATGCCTAATGACAGGATTTTCTTATGAAAATAATCTCATTATGATAATTGGCAAGCAACACAAGTTGTACCCTTGTATGTATAATTTAGAGTGAGGGAAGTCAATAGAAAAAGCTCTCATCTCTTTTCAAGAATGGTTTGTTT